GATTTGTAATTCATTGTTATTTTGTCTTTGAACTAATTCCTACCTTCAAGTATGAGAAACAAAAAAGCAAAGAATTATAACTACAAGCACGAAAATAACCATAAATTGTAAATCATAAAAATGTATATTAAATTTTAGAGATATTCTAAATTTAAAGATCTGTAATTTTCTTTATTTTATTTTCTATATTTCAAAAACATTCTAGAATATAAAAATACATCCCATAAGATATATTTTATGTGACGCATAACTACGTTCTATAAATAAATATACATATTAAAATATAATAATTTATGCTACAAAACCTTTTTAAAGTTGTCATTAAATGCTAGAAATTTGAAAAACAGAAAAAACACAACGATAACATTTTTATTATCAAAAAGTATTTATTATTGAAGTCATTAAGGATTTAATTTAAATTTGTAATTAATAAGAAACAGATAATTTGTATTCGGTTTATAACTTTAACTCATAACAATATTTTTTGTTTAAGTTTATTTAGGAGGTTTTTGGGATTGTTTATTTAAAATGTTTTTCTATAAAAGTATTTATCAACTTATTATAAGTCAGAAGAGTTTAACTTCTTCAAAAACTTCTTATTACCGGTTTGGCACTGGTATAAGTTGTTTATCCAAACATTCAAAAATGCTTATTACCGGTACCACACCGAAATAAGTCAATATGTTATTTTTATAAGCAATCTCAAACACCCCCTTAAATAAAATGATCGTTTTAAATAGAAATTAATATCAAACATAATAAGTATAAATTAAAAAACAATTTTAATCGGATAATTATGATATTACAAAGCATTATATGAGTCATTGGGCATACAAGATCTGCGTAGGTGGTAGTTGAGATATACTCTCGTTTTACCATGCTAGCTTTCGTTGCTGGATTGGATCTTCACGATAAAAAGGGCATACACGTGGCAACCTCTTAATGCTACCAGCTCACCAAAAAAGCCGGTGGGAAGACGTAACCTTTTACTACCACGTGGCCCAATAAAAGACCAACGTGTGTCCTTTTTCAGATGATATGGTTGACTTTCTAAATCCAAAAAGGCAAAATAAATCAATAACAGAACGCGATCTTTTGTAAACAGATATCAAATTTCCCCATTTACCCAAAAACTTGAGACATGTCAAGAAGAATCACGAGGGCAATTGTGTACTTTTGTGTAGTAAGCTATGAGCTGTTTTCCTCACCAATCTATTTGAGGGCAATTTTGGACTTTTACATAGTAAACCATGAGCTGTTATCCTTGCCACCCTATATAAGACCTTCAACCTTGACCAAGTTCAAAAACAAAAATGGCTACCTTTGCTTTCTACATGGTGGCAATGTTTCATCTCCTCCACCTCTTGTCTCCTCCGACCACCATGCCTGGCGGCGGCACCACCTTATCCTATAATGTGGTTGCCGCTATAAGACCGTTGGAAAGAGATGGGGAATACGTTACGTATAAGCCAATAACCGGTGAGATCAATCAAGGCCAAGGTATGGATGGTTGTTTGCCTAAAGGATTTCGATACCATTCTGGTCCTAGCCGGTACATAAACAATCAACCGCTTAGCTCGAGTAGCGGATGTTCCACTACACCTCAACCATAAACCGAGTCATACTGAAGAAAGATGTGTTACAGTTTATGTTACGTCGTCATACGCTGTACAGTATGATATAGGAACATGTACATGAGGATGTTCCATTTTAAACTTTTAGCAATTGATGTCGATACTATATGTATATAGCATTACATTATACATGCATAATTGTAAAGTTGTTGCAAAATGTATAACACGAAAGTGTTTTAGTTACGCCAATGAATATTTATTTTGTATATACCATATGTATAAGTTACTAAAAAAATTTAGCACAAAAGAACGATGACAAAGAATCTAATAGGAGAAAATTATTAAAATCGTTTTTACAGCAACAACAAATGGATATACCAAAAAATATGAATGATATGATGTTGATAGATATTTGGTTAACGAATCTATCAATCCAGAGACTTTCTCATTTGATATTGTACTTTAGTGGAAAGAAAATGTTAATAGTTTATAACATTTCACTACAACAAAATTAGGTTTATAGATGTCTATAATGTCTAAGGATCCTAATATGACGGAAGAAACAAAAAATGTCTTATCTAAAAGTGTTAAAATATATGTTCATCAAAGTTTTTTTGGCGTCTTAACAAATTTTTAAGACGTTTTTGAAATAAAGTGTCGTATCAGTTATTTTATACGACACTATTTAAAAGAAAATGTCATATGAACACAAGTGTCCTATAAATAGATGAGTTTACAAAACATTTCTCAAAATTGTTCTATGAAATAAATAATACGATACTCACTTAAAAAGTGTTCTGAAAACCTAGTTGAAACCAATAAAACATCCTACAAACCTATTGTAACTCTTTTAGATTTAACGTTTTAATGTTTGATTCTATAAGCTCAAATCTCGTAAAGTATTTCATTCTTTCAACCTCATGTAACTACTAACCCGTCAACCCAACGCAACCCGTCTCAACCTGCAAAGGTTGAGTTGGATTATATTTTTCGAATGATTTGGGTTTATATTTTTCAAAATGCCATAAAGGGTTGAGTTGTAAAAATGACGTAAACCGTCCAACTAAACCTGCATATACTCTACTATTGATGTCACATTTCTTCTAGTCTTTGCAAGTCTAGATGGGAACTTGTGTATGACCTCACCTACAATGCACATAAACGTCTTGGCCATTCCTACTTCGTTTTATTCCCTAAACAACAAGTTAACATGTCTTTCATCAAGTTACATCTACAGTACCGATCATGTAGAGAATGTCTAATTATTCTCAAATTAGTAGCTTTAAAGTCTCATTCTCGTCTCAATTTCTAAGCCAAACAACTATAAACCAACACAGATGCTATTGCTTCAGCAATAAATCGAAGTTTGATGCACAATTTCATACCTCAAATCACTAATACGACATGATAACTAAATTCTCCTACTAATCATTTTGTAAGGACTTTCCCATCATCCTAGCATCCACAAGCACCGGCGGGGTCCAATATATGGTGGTAGGTAGGGGTGCTCAAAAACCCGACCAACCCGATGAACCCAACCCAATCTAACGCGAAATAACTCAACCCGATGTCAAATCGAGTTGTAAAAATTTCAAACCGTAGGTATTGAATTGATATTGGGTTACTATTATTTGAACCCAACCCAACCCGATGAACCCGATATCCTATTATTTCTTGGATTTAATATAATTGTTGAATTTCTATTAATATGTGCATTAGACGATAATACTATCACGTACGATCTTCATATACACATCTTTTCAATCTATTCATATCTCTATATAACTCATTCTTATATATGTTCAGTAATTTTAAGCATATATACGTAAATTGAAAAAAATAACTGAATGTGATAGTAAGAAATATGTATAAGTTGTATCAAATGGTTGATGATGAAAATAAATTATGAGTAGAGAAATAATATATTCAAGGTTAAAATAATATTTTAATGTACCAAAATATCAACCCGACCAACCCGTACGGTTTGGGTTGGGTTGGGTTGCACTTTCGTTTGGGTTGAGTTAATATTTTTCAAACCGCAAGCATTGGGTTGGGTTGATCAAATGTCTTCAACCCGATCAACCCAACCCATGAGCCCCCTAGTGGTAGGGGTGCTAGGCCCCCAACAAACCACAAATTTTCTTTTAAAATTGCTATAAAAAATTTGTTTAGTAAATTCTTCTATTGTGCGTCCAACAAGAACAAGGCAAGGCCCCAACAAGAACAAGACAAGGGCCCCTAACTTGATATCTTGATTGTTAATTGGTCTATTTGTAGCACACATTGATATTTTCGTTCGAAATATAAAAATCGACCTGAATAAGTTATCTTAATTCGGTTAACTGAACCGTTTAAGCCGAAAAGGAAAATCCAAAACCGTTTTCATCCGGAAGAATTATTTGGTTTTGAATATTTTTTTTTCTACACGACTACACCCCTAAGTATGCCCCCAACTTTAAAAGTTTCTGGATCCGCCTCTGTCCATAAATTGCTCTATATATGAAACCTCCAACCACACTTTCAACGTTCCTCTTTAAAATCAACATCGTTTTCAAATCCGAGACACTTTTTTCCTTATGTTTTCTTATTGTTATGTATTTAAATGTTTGTGTTGATTAGTCACGTACCATAGAGGTATGTTAAGATATAATTGGTTTAAATCATTAAAAAAATAACTGATTTTTTTAAATTATGATGTTTAATAAAAAAGTAATGTAATTTTTTTTTACAAACATTAAAATACAATATTATCTATATTATATTATAAAGCATTTGACAAAAAAAATTAAAAATCATTTTTTATGCATGAAGTATTATTCATTAATGCATATTACTTAAAATTTAAGATTACAAATAAACTATACGTAAGTACAACTTATTAAAATTTCATGTTTGAATTCGTGCAACTGATTGCAGATAAGTATAGTCAAATACAAGATAAACATTTCATTTTAAATATAAAAAATCTAAAATATAATTAGGATAATTATTGAGTTCTAATAGAATACTTAATTATTATCTTTATAAAAAATTATATTATAAAATAAAAAATAAATTAATTCGTTATTAAATCTAAATTAAATTATAATATAAAAATTGAATTAAAGAAATTACACAAAAAACAAGAACTTTGAAATAGTTAGTTTGATACTGATATTGATATATTTATTTTTAAAATTTGAAGATATCTTTAAATTTATATTTTATTCAAAAATAAAAATTATCTGTTTTTTAAAACTATATAAAAATTATATTATAATATTTATAAAGATGAAATATTAAAATCGAAATATATCTTTTGCTAGATTATTTGAATCCTTTGGTAATTAAAAAACAATTCGTATATCGAGTCTTTTAACTCGCATTAAATATTTTGTAAATGATTTTTTTGGCAAAGAAAGATAATAATCTTTAATTATTTTGTATAATATCGTCAGCAACAAGACACAACTGAGGAAAACCGACGACCTACGCTTCCGTAAACGAATTCAAGATCAAACAATCCTTTTCTCCCATCCAGAATTCAAATTCTTGTTTAGATCGACGAACAATACCTCTATATACAGAAATCTACAAGAATAGTTGTTGTACCGTACGCCATGGGTTGCTCCTCCTCCCTTCCAGGTATTCTTAATTTTCTAATTTAGGGTTTTGCTGCTTCCTTCAATTAATTTGAAAACCTTCATCAATAACCTCATATTCGTTGAGTTTATTGATTCCGAGCTGGAAAAAGGTTTGAATATGACTTTGAATTGCGTTAGGTTTATATGCTTCTTGTTGCTAAAGCCGCCTTGTTTGATTGCCTAGCTTTGTTCCGTGATGGCGCTAATTTTATATTTGTTTTGCGATGTGATTTTGTTTCTTGGGGATTACTGCTATGCAGATAGGAGTGCGGGGCGGGCGGGTGGACTTAATCCGGATAACGGCGGCGATTCTGATGCCAAAAATCTACGTGTTAAGGTAGTTTTTTATTTGTAAAATGAGTCCTGTTTACAGTTCCATTGTGAATTTACTTTTTTGTTTTTCTGGTAATAGGTTGAATGTTAGCGAGTGTGTATGTAACATTTATCCATGATATGCGAGAATTCTTAGATTTCATTAAATAGTATTACTACAGCCTAGAAGATACCATTATCATATTTTTTTTCCTCAGACACTGTAAGTAACCCAACATGCAATACTCAGTTAATACGTAAGAGAATTTTGAGTTTGAGCTATTGTGGCCTTGGCTCCTGGGTACCCCAGCCGGACGAAGAGTGCTCTTAGTTCTTAACTTTCTCTTGATATGGTCAGATCCCATTTTGTTTATCCTGCTAGAAGTGTCGGCACAAAATAAACTTGAAGAGTTGAAGGAAAAGTTATTCTGACTGAGATGAGGAATCTTAATCGATTATGAGCTTCCTTAAGATGTAGGATTCTAAGATCTTGGGATCGCATTAATTAATGAAGTGAAAGGATCCTGGTTTGACGTATGGGACCAGAAATTCGTGAAAGAGTACAACATGCGTGTTAAATAATTCTATGTCCTATAGTATAACGTTCTATTATCAAGCTGTTAATAAATATATATGTCCTCATTGATTAATAGGATAAAATGTTCACACGACTAAACCTTATGTAAGGTGCATTGGTTAGCCTCATGGTAAAGCCTTTTCATGTTGCAACCCTGGAGTGAACATTAGAAGCTCGACAGAGCCCTTTGAAATAATTTTTCTAACAAAACACTTGATTTCATTACTTTATAAATAACTTGCCAATGTGCATTGCCTTGCGACCACATAGATGGATCGTGGATCCTTTCGCAATGCTTTAATTATCTCATAATCTCACACAAAAAAGTGAATTGGTTTCTTTGCTGTTATATTAAAGTCATTTACGGTTCATCAATCGATGAATGCACTTGAGTCATGCATGAAGCCAACATATTGAAAGGAAAAATTAAGGATAGATGAGAAAATGAGGAACTCCAGATTCAGTCTTTCCTGGAATACCATCATACTGTCATTGATACTATAAGAAACGAGAAAGGAAGCAAGAAAGAAGTGTAAGATATCTCAGATAAGTGATTTTAGAAAATTTCCAGGGAAATTAGGGGTAGGAGGGTTAAAATCTATTTCTGAAGTTGAGGGAATTAGCTGTAGAACTTCCTAGTTTAGCATAGCAGAAAATTGTATACATAGACGAGAATGAATTGTAGATGATGTAACACCATTTGCGGTTCTAAGCTCTAAAACTCAGGTTTTGGTACTCGAGAAAGCTGTTGCTGACAAAATCAATTGGTCAAATGGGCAAAAAGATTCGTGAAGAGTTGGTGTGCATACCGCTGGAAACCTCAAAACACCAAAGAACAATGTTGGAAATTATATGGAAAACCATCCACAAACAGTCGTGAATGGGGACAGAAAGATGGCCAACAAAGATATGCTCAGGTGGCGTTTCAAGATCCAACTCAAGTGCTTGGAGGATTTAGCATGGATGAGAAGATTAGACGTATGTTGGGAACCACAAAAAACGACTAGCAATTCTCAACCGATGAATTAGGGTATATGTTCATTGATACTTTCAGGTAAGGCTCTTACTACTCGTGGGTTGAATGCCTTAGGTAGTGAGCTTATGGATGCCTGGATCCTTGACTCCGGGGCTGCGAATGAAATGACAAATAAATTCAAAACCTATATGGCTAATCTTGTGTCTTAGCAATAGAAAGGTTGTTGTTGCTGCTAAAATCATAGTAGCAGGAATAGGAAGCATCCTGGTGACCTCAAAACTGCTGCTCCCTGTTATTTACAAATTGGTTTTCATACAAAAGCTTACCGAAGATCTTGTGTTATATTCCATGATTCTTGTGAATTTCAAGACCATGGTTTGGTGAAAAGGATTGGTCGCTAAGGAGCATACTGGCCTCTATTATTTGCATACATCAGGTCAACTAGTGTTCAATAAATCTGCCAAGTCCACATTTTCTCCTTCCAATAAGGATGTCATCTAGTTACATCATAGGTGCCTAGATCATGCGTCTTCACATGCATTGGAAATAATGTTTCCTTCTTTGTTTAAGGAATTTGATGAAAAAATTTGATTATGATATTTGTGACCATGTGGAACACACTCGTATACCATTTTCCATCCGTAATAAATGATCTTTTCTTTTTCTTTGATCCATGATATAATTGGAGACCAACAACTATTTCAAACATCTCAGGATGTAAGTGGTTGGTCATGATTATTGACGATTGCATGAGTCTCTTGGATCTATATTCTCAAAACTAAAAGTCTGAAGTGAGTCATGTTTTTCTTATCTTTCACGCAATGATTCAAAAAGGAGGAATTGTACACGAATCAATGGAGTAGTGAAAAGGAAAAACTGACATCTTCTTGACTGCGCTAGAGCCCTTATTGTTGCTGCGTGCGAAGTTCATGAATTGTACATGAATCAAAGTTCCTTTTTTGGAAGAATCTTCTTTAAACATTACTTGTTTCTTGAACCATGATATTTAGCAACCTACTTAACTGGTGCCAGGATCAGCAGCTGCGTGCAAAGTTTCTTCCTAGGTTTTGTTTTTAAATTGCATGGTGATTACTCCTTTTACAAGGCAGTGGTTCAAGTGAAGAAAGATAGAACAGTGCTAGAGATGTTTGGTCATCTCCAAAGGGGAAATCATGATTGGAAATAATTACCAAGAGGGAGGTAATAAAAAGTCAGTATAGGACAGAGAACTTTTTGGAAGTAGTTGAAGAGATTTAACGGGAATAATGGGTGGCTTTGCCCCAAATAGGAGCTTATGGTTGGAAGTTATTCCTGTTCTCCTGGGCATATGGTTTTGGTTCTACTACTTAATGATCTCTAAAGGATCTGGTTTTTGCATTATCCCTATTAGGTGGGACTAAAAGATGCTTATACTCATACTGATTTTTGCTACTACTTTTTGGGTTTCCACTATTGAAAAGTTCCCATTTATTTCTTCATGTTGAAATGTATGGGGTAGACTTCAGTGATATGATATTAATCTGGCGGAGTTTGTATGGTCCAATATTTTTGTAACTATGCTCCTATTCCAAAATTCAATCCAGAACTATTTCGAAACCAGCACTTTACCACTGGTCATTGTTAGCCCAGTTATTTTGCAAATTATATAAGCATAGCATATTCACAACTTGTGAAGCTCTGTTGACCAGACAATAAGTCCCAGAGAAACCAATCTTGGATCTGACACTGGTCATGCTTTATGAGTGACCGGTTGTGTACCTGTGTGATACAACAGGATGCAACATTTTTATGCAAATTGAGGGTGGAAACTTCATCTGATTTCTAATCAAAAAAGGAAATCTGGAATTTAGATTTGAGCAGAATAGAAAATATAGGTGGTGGTTTTATTTCAGTTTTATGATCGAGTATTATGTCGTATTACTAGAGTTCAGCGCTTATCTTGTATCTAAAAAGTGTTTATCAATTAGTTTTATGTAATTCAAACATGGTGCGTTAAGAAGTCTTAGGTATGCAGTAATAAGCTATAAACTTGAATTTCAAGAATTATGCATTAATAATACGTATCTAATGCTCAATAGGTCATTTTTGAGATTTTTATCAAATGCTTTATAATACAGTAAAGATGTAAAAATCAGGAATTTAAGACACAACTTTAGTAACTGTGTACTCTATCTTCCTACGACACAATGTGGGCTGCGCTTCAACTTGTTCCATGCTGAGACAGCTACACTTAGCATCAACACTTTCTTTTGATTACAGCTGGTGCTATTAGGGGACTCTGGTGTTGGGAAAAGCTGCATTGTTCTTCGCTTTGTCCGTGGTCAGTTTGATCCAACTTCCAAGGTAAACTATATATTATTTTTTTCCCATCAAATAGCAGGTTAAGGTTTGATACATATTTATTGTAGTTTATATTTTTGTTTACATTTTTTATTTTTTATCTTTTATCTTTTATCTTTTTTGAATATAATTCATAACTTTTTGCTAATTTTAATAACAAGTTAAGATTCTCCAGGCTGGCATAAATTCTGGGCAAAATGATCTATACTTGATCGTATTTTGGCATCCATGCCTCTCTATGTACCCTGCGAGGCAAATCATGATATGATTCACTTACCTATATTTTTTCATTAATGATCTCAGGTGACTGTTGGAGCTTCATTCTTGTCACAGACAATAGCTCTGCAGGACTCCACGACAGTTAAATTTGAAATTTGGGATACTGCTGGCCAGGAGAGGTAATTTTGCATTATTAACTTTTTCCCCGTTAAGAGGACTCATCGTGTTCATTGGTTTTATTGAGTTGGTATTCACATTTTTCCTACTCTATTTAACAAGGTAAACTATTTCTCTATTTGCAAATTGTCCAGATATGCAGCACTAGCCCCACTTTATTACAGAGGTGCGGCAGTTGGAGTTATTGTGTATGATATAACTAATCCCGACTCATTCAGTAAAGCTCAATATTGGGTCAAGGTATGGCTACTAGTATTTTGAATATTTATTCATTTCTTAAGTGGTCTCTTTTGTGTATATATACTTTAACCATTTCATGGATGTCTTTTATCCTCAACTCTGCATATTGTTCAACAATGTATGATAACATCAATAGACCACCAAGTTGAGAGCCAATGCTGTGACAATATAATACCTGAACTAACTAGCATGATTATATTGGGCTTCATCAAAGGTGAAATGTAACCAGATATTTAATTTGTTTTGGAAATCCAATAGAATGCCTTGCGACTATTGTTGATTACTTGGTCAATCACTTTCATAGTGTGTGTGTGTATGTGTGCTGAGTTTCTTTGTAGTCCTCATTTGTTGACTGGGGTCCTAGACAACTGGAGCAAAGTTCAGAGCCTAAAGCTCATAACAAACACATCCTTTATAAAAATACTTATGTAGATAAAGGTACAAATAATAATTTTGCACAAATATACTCTGATACTTGGAATTTGGGTTTTAAATTGTTTGTTGTACTAATGAGTAATGGAATACGGTATCCATTCTTTAAGTTCAGATGTCCTCAAAGCCTCTTGTGCATCAATATGTTTCTGGCAACAATGCTTAAAGAATGAATATGAATACGATGGCAATGCTCTCATATGTGATGAACTTTCTTATAGATGCAATTGAATAATTTTTGCGTCTTACAGGAGCTACAGAAGCACGGGAGCCCTGATATCGTCTTGGCTTTAGTTGGTAACAAAGCCGATCTTCAAGATAAACGAGAGGTGTCTGTTCAAGTAAGAAACATGCTTCATTTATTCGACCAAATAAATTTCTGCTTGGCCTACTCCATACTTATTTCTGATTTGCCCTATTTTCCCTTGTTTTAACCTGTTTTGTCTTTGTTTTCCCAAGGATGGAATGGACTATGCAGAAAAGAACGGTATGTTCTTCATTGAAACTTCTGCCAAGACAGCTGATAACATCAATCAGCTATTTGAGGTACAACATTTACTTGCTTTTATGCATTCTCTTCTATGTGTATTTCATGTTGAAAACAGACTTATACTTGTTTGAACTAGGAGTGTATTTGACTGAGCTTCCCTGGCTTGTGTAAAACTGGTAGGCTTGGGCTCGGTTGCTTACCAAGCTCAAAAAACACAAGCTAGGGTCGGCTTGCCAAAAGAGCTCGATTTTTTCGTACTACAACCAAACCAAACCAAACCAAAACAAAACAAGCTCAGTATATCCGCCATGGAAGTGAGGTCTGAGAGGCATAAGATGTACCAGACATGAGCTCTACCTCAAGAGTAGAGCGACTGCTTCCATGAAGACCTCCAGCTTGTGAAAAGTCTGCGAAAGAGAGATGCATATTTAAACAGCTAGTTATGAGTAAGCAACAGCATACGAGTATGTATAGTATAGGCAGGTTCATTAAAAACATAAGCAAGAGCCTTTGTTCATATGAATTTAAAATTAATTCCTTAAAACAAAGTTATAATCCTCTTTAGGAAAACAAAAACTAGAAGACCCCAGGAGGCTAGGATTTACCAGTAACCGTAAGTAATACCATTGTGCCAAATGACCCTTTGGTAAAGTTACTGATTCGTAGATGCTAATAAAAATATATTGAGGAGGGACTCGTAGATGCATTCTTGATGAACTAATTGTTTTTTTGCTTAGGAAATCGCAAAGAGATTGCCTCGACCTTCTCCATCATGATACCGCTTATTTGAAACGTCAACTGAACGTTGTTACGGTTGGTTGTGGGAAGTTTATGTATATTTGTGATAGAGCTGAGATGTTTGATGTGCATACATTATATTTGTGGATTCCATGTTGCATTTGCCAAACCCGAATTGCTATGAAAACTAAGACATGTTTCACCGAGCTTGGACGTCACATTTTATTGCAGCGGTTATCGTAAAAACATGGAATTATCGAGTGTGTTGCTATTTGAACGTCTATATGAAAAGTCGAACGTGAATCATTTGAAAATTGAAAAACAAAAGATTTTATCTCGATTTTGCATTATTGATATCATTTTTTATAATCTTTATATGTTTGGTATCAATGTTTCTTATTTTCTTTTTTATACTTTGTATGAATTTAATTTGTTCTAAAGTACTACTTAAAACACTAACACATACAAGTGTATGTGTGTGTGTGTAGAGATGAAGAATCGTGTGAGAATAAGAGTTAAGATGAGAAGTGTAATAAGGGATCTGGATCCTTGATCACTTTTAATCTTATCTCACCCTATGAATTGTGTTTCTCATGGAAATTGATCTGACACATTTCATTAGTGTTGATTTTCAATTAGAATTAATCTAATGGTGGAGATCCTTTCTTACCCTTCTCATTATAACTTTTATTCTTATCAGAATCAAACACACACACACATATATATATATATATATATATATGAAAAACTAAAAGAACACTCTAGTAACCATTTATCTAGACGATATACATATGTGCATATAAGTAACTGAAACAGTTTTCTGGTTTTATGCATATGTGCATACCATCCAGATTAACAGTTACCAGGGTGTTCCTCAGTTTTTATTTTTATTGAGGTTTTTCCTTGAACCTGACCCTACATGTGTGTGTATGCGCGCGTGCACGCACGTGCATACCTCATTCAACCAATTAGGGGTGTACGCGGGTTGAGTTGAGCGGTTTACAACAAACCCAACCCTATTATGGCGGTTTGAAAAAATCTTAACCTAACCTATTCAAAAGTATAACCCAACCCAACCTTTGCGGGTTGAGGCAGGTTGGGTTAGTAGTTAAATAAATTTGATGAATACAATAATTTATAAAACTTAAGTTTATAGATCATATTATAAAGTGTCCTACCTAAAAAGATTACAATAGGTTTATAGGCTGTTTTTGGACGTTTCAACAAGTGTTTTAGAATGATCTTTAAATAAAATGTCGTATTGGTTATTTTATAGAAACATTTTGATAAGTGTCCCGTAAAGTCATCTATTTATAAGACACCTATGTTCATATGACACTTTTTCAAGTCATGTCATATAAAATAACTAATACGACACTTTATTTTAAAAGTGTCAATAGAATTTGTTAAGACGCACAAAATCATCCTATAAACATATTGTAACTCTTTTAGATAAGACATTTTTGTTGTTTCGTCCTATAAAGTATCATATTATGACGCTTAGACATTTTAGACATCCTATAAGATCTAATGTAATTGTAGCGAAATGATATAACTAGATATTTTCTTTCCACTAAAGTACAACATAAAATGACGGAGTATTTAGATTGCTGGATTCGTCAATGAAATATCTATCAATATCATTTATATTCTCTAACATATCAATTTGTTGTTACTGTAAAAAATAATTTTTCTAATTAATTAGATTATTTGTTATCATTCTTTGATCGTGAATCTTTTTTGGTAACTTATACGTTTAGCTAAAATGAAATAAAACATAATATCAATAAAAATTATATGTTAGCGGCTGGTTGGACAGGTTGAGCTAGGCCCAACCCAATTTCAACCCTTCTAATTGTCGGGTTAGCGGTTTGGTGGGTGGGCGGTTTGACGGTTAGACAGGTTGGATTTAATTGGGTTGTTAACGGGTTGGGTTGGAAGGGATTCACGGGTAGACAGTTTTTTGTACACCCCTACAACCAATCATAGTTTTTCTTTTTTTCTTGTTTGTAATTATGAGAGGTTCAGGTTGATTGGTCATTTTTATTGTAGAGGGTGTTAATTATGGATATTATCAATTTTATTATATTAATTTTAAAGAAATACATAAAACAGTTTCATTAAAATATAAAAGCAACTATATATGAAATAATTCATCAACAAAAATATCATATAAAACAATTTCATCAGATTAAAAAATTTCATGAAAATTTCAGTAAATTAAACAATAAAATCGACGGATGATAGTTTGTATGGTTTGTTTAAATATAGGTGGTTTGTATTTGATTGCTCCTACCTATATAACTATACAATATTATAAAGCATTTGACTCTCTTTTTGAGAATCCATACATCACTTATCACTGTATGGACAACATCATATTTTGGCTCTCTCTTCAGCCTCGCGTCTCTTATCTCTAGGAGGTCTTCCTTTGTTAGCAGGTTTTTTTTGAAAGATCTCCTGAAATTGTAGTGTGATATTCTGACTCCTCATTACTAATAAAATCAAAACGAATCCTCGTTACTAATGGAATCAAAATGATCTTTGGAGATCACTAGGTCTATGAATGCGACCTCATCTGCTTTAGACGACCACGACCCACGAGTCTCAGGCTCTCAGCTTCTGTTCTGAACTTCTAGCTTATGTTTCCAACTTCTATTTCTAGCTTCTATCTCAAGGTACCACGAGTCTGGAGTCTGAATTTTTAATCTTGGTTGATAAGAAAATCGAAGCAGATTGGTCAATTAAACTCCCTCTGTTTATGTACAATTCTAAGAAATAATATATGAACAGCTATTTTTGGATTGCTATACCATCATTATTACGGCTATTTCAAATATCGGTCCCACTGTAATTTTGTCTTTTTATCGCTACAACAACATAACATGTCAAGTTGGTGCACTCTTAAATATATGGTTACTTTCTCAATTTTGTTGCCATAAATGGGTTATTTAGTGGAAAATCAGTTGGAGAATCTCTTGAAATAAAAAATAGATTAAAATCTTCAATTTTATCTCTTTTAAAGAACATATTGTCAAACATGATTAGTTTTAGTTACTTAGGTTTTCAGTTAATTAATTATCAATCAATCTCTAAGTTTTCAGTTAATAACTAACTTTTCTAATAAGAACTATTATTTAAACATAGCTAAATCCTTTTTGAGCGTCAATATATATATATATATATATATATATATATACACACACACATATATATATAGAGAGAGAGAGAGACACTTATGATCATGTGATGACAGACTATTTCCATAAGATCATTTTTTCATACTTGAAACTTCACAACCTTCATAGTGTTTTTACTGTGAAAGTTGGGATTTTTTATAACTTCATAACATTTTGCTATAAAGTTTTAAGTGTAAAAATATAATCTCGCAAGTCTCATGAAAATAGGTTGGTCTCACGCGAACACGACCATATATATAGGGGCCTAATCAAATGAGAACTAATTAGTTTGTGGTAACTGTGAGAACCAATATTAACCACAAATCAATAGATAAATTAGGAAATTTTGGCAATTTTGAATTAAAATATTAATGCAAGAATATTTTTGGTAT